ATCAACGTATGAGAAATAATAATGTTTCATACTTTCTGGCAATAATACAGGCGGTGCTAAGATGTTCAAACACCAAATAGATTTTTGCAAGGAAGCAAATCTGCATTAACCACACGTACTTGTGAACATGCAAACAAACACGCTCTAATAACATATGAATTGTCTTTGAAACTGCCCTACACCAGAGACAGCCTTCTTTATGGCCCTAGTCTAACCAGTATCAAGACACTGCCGAATGATGGCGTCACCACGTCATCAGGGTTGTTTGACCATTCTTCACCACGCCGGTCAATGCGAGATGGTGAAGAAGTGGAAGTAGAAGGGGTGGGAATGAAAGGTTCTCATGAAGGTAACTCGCCACTGAAGTTATGTCCGGGGATTTCACTCGATCCATATGATTCATGGCGCGGTTGCTGCGATGTCACTGAGCCACCACTACCCCCACGCTGTCCATGGTATATAAATGGAGGAGCGATTTAAAATATGTGATAATGATATTAAGTATTCACATAAGGTTACACGAAACCAGATGTTGACATTTGCAAATGATGGAAAATGATCAGTGGTGTAAGGGGTCGGGGGGGGGGATAAAAAATACCTTTATTTAATATATTACATACGTGCACTATAGTAATATGCATTGGCCCATGGGATTTCGCTGTGCTTAGGTATATACTAAACAATACATTCCACAAAGCAGGCATAAGCATGTCATTATTACACATACATCACATTGTGATGTGATGTATTTTTGATAACGCATGTCTACATTGTCCCGAGCAGATCCACACAGCTCACACATGCATGGGTACATCCCTGGGGCGATGCTGTTCGAGATCTATTCTGGACTAGATGAGCATTGTAAACCTTAAGTCCTGCTCGCACTCTCACAGCGAGCAATGAAACATCTGGGGCACGTGTCTCTAATTAGGCCTCTGCCCGCACACCCGTTCAATGGTTACTATGGCACTAACAGCGAGCACGCAGTACACTCACGTACAGTGGTGTACATACCTAAATAGCTCCAAAAGTGCGCTGCTGTGAAACACACGTAACCACGTCCAGTAGATGTACATGTCCATCCCTTTAGGTTTTCAAGCCACTGCTGGATGATGCCTTCATCTATTGCTGTGAACACATAAGTACTTGAAATTCATCTTTAATTAAAAAAAAAGTACGTGTTCCCGTGTTTATGAACTCACCACGTGTAATACACACCCATGTATATATATACACACACGCGTATGTATATGCCTTGTGTCCACCACAGAGCGCCGTACATACAATCGAGATAATTGCGCCTTGAACACCCTACGAAGTGTGAGAAAACTGTTCAAGGAACCCACCGTCTCCTATAGCAGTGATGGACAATGCACAGATATAGCGACGTGTGAAATGGGCCCCGTACTTTCAGTGCATGTCCACATTCAAGCGTTTTTTTATGTATATACAGGACAGAGATACCGAACATATCTTCATTTTAAGCTTTCGTGACTGCAGGAATCCACACTATTTGGTTCTTTCGGTAAAGTCACGTAGGTAGAACAAATAATAATAGATCACGACGTTTCGATCGCAACACAAGCAACCGTCATCAGGTGTGAAACAAACACGGGAGGACTGCTAACATAGCATACGTGGACTGTTGGGTCACGTTCTGTTAGCAAGCGCCTATGGAAGAATGCTGGCACACCGGGCACCACGGGAAGTGGTGTGGGCCAAAACCTCGCCCTGTCGCTTTTGTCTTCCCAGTGTTGATGTTTTTTCACACCGCACCAGAAACTTCGCCGTCTCGGCCTCCATTTGTGGCTCGCCGTGCCGCAGTAGATGCTGACTATGTGCGGGGTGTATCTTGCCTCTACGGGTAGAATATACAATACGCATATTAAATACAAAGATCCCCCGTGTAGCCTTAACATACTGCTGGGACAAGTGCTGTTCGCGGGTACGGCGCAGGTGGTGTGGCTAACACGACACCCGGCCGCCTTGTGATGTTTATACCACACCTGGTACTCATTTAAGGCCAAGTCGACCTAAGGGGGAGGGCGGGGTGACTCGGATCGGTTCAGGTATCTCTCACTGATGTTGGCCGAACCGGGGTCACTTGGTTCTCAGCGCAGTGCGCTAAATATCTAATTTAACGTATAATATTGACACTCCCACTCCATCTATACACACACACACACAATCATGCAGCATAATTTTGCAGTGAATACAATCATCAGTAATTATCGAATGTATAAATGTAATTCAGAGAGCTGTATAGTTGAGTCAGAGCAGTATTTTATTTGCAAAGACAATCAGATCTCTTAGAAAAGGAGCTATTCACAGATAAGGCTCTTAAGTGCACATTGTATACTGACACGGGTATACGAAATTAGGTCTGGAGACGTTTGGAGCCGCAACTTCAGAATATACACACCGCACACACGACTAACGTCCCCGTTCAGCCGTATTAGAATGCTGGGGCAAGTGCTGTTCGCGAGCACCTATCAAGGGCAGCACGGCACATACGAGGCCCTGCGCAACGACCGACCCGCCTTTATCTTCCATCGTATGCCGTTGTGTTTGTGTGTGTTTAGTTTGCTGTCCTTCCCCCCCGCACCCCCCCCCCCCCCGATTAGCGAGAGTGGCTACGTACGGTGCGAAAGAAGTTCCACACACATGCACAGACGTTGTTGACACACGGCCGGGCACCTTGTACTAATTTTTTTTACCGACCTCGAGGAGGCTCTAGCCCAGCAAGTTACGAATACCATTTATTTTTGGTGTGAACCATTGTATCCATGAATTGATTCTTGATCGCCCAGGATCATAGCGCAGTGCGCGACAACCACCATTGCGCACACGCGCGTGCACGCGCCGACAGACGCACACCGACACAGCTGGACGGGATATCGCCCCGACAACATGTTTGACGGCAGCTGCGACACACGGTGCGATATGGAGAGGTTCGACGTTTAGGGGGGGGGGGGGGGGGTGGACTGAACTCCGCACCTTTCCAGATTTCCAAGCGCCTCGCCGCTCGGCCCCCACTACTGCCTTTCCTCAGAGCCCTCCACATCAGCGCCCCTTCTCCTCTCGTCAATTAACCCGACGATAAGACGACTACCCCCCCACCCCACCTACAACCCTTCCCGTCATCTCTCCCTACTCCCACATCACTTTATTTTTTTCTCTCTCCTCCCCGTAACAGATTTCCGCTGTCTCCACCTCGTCAAGAGATAGCCGGGCGCGACACACACACACAAAAGCAATCATGCTGCATGCGTTGGGAAAGGCGCGGTTTGTTTGTGTGTGCGCGCGTGCGTGCGCGCGTGCGTGCGTGCGTACGCAAAGACAAAGGGTTGCCACCTTATAGCCTACACAAAGTTCCGTGAAGCGAAGCACCGAATGGAGGCCGCAAAACGGCGCACGAGGTGGATGGTGTGGCCAGCACCACGGCCAGTCGCCCCTCCTTTTGTGACCCGCCACAGCGCTGCTGTTTACACACGGTGCCAGCTAAGGTGCCAGCTAAGGGGCCATCCATTTAGTGGGTACGCAAAAATCTGTCAAAACTTAACCCCTCCCCCCCCCTCTCTGTACGCACGCGGACTTTTTACCCCCCCCCCCCCCACCTGCGTACGTACGCCTGACGCACCCCCCCCCCCGAATCCTATAGAACGGCCGATATTTAATCCACGCAGAAACCATCAAGGATTAATAATATTAACGTGTTTAAGCAAACAGATAGTCCACCGCCGGACTATCTAACTATTTTGAAGGCCAATGTAGACAAATAATCGAGGCTTCACCCCCCCCCCCATTTCCTATGCGTGCATTGTCAGTAGCCCCCCCCCCCCATACGCAAGCGTACACAGTGCGTACGGACTCGCACAAACGCAGATATCCCTCGTGTAGCCTTCAACGGACTGTGTTGGAGCAAGTGCTGCTATAGCGAGCATCTTAAGTCGTGGCCACGGCACACGATGGGGGCACGTGGCCAACCCCGTCTCCCCAGGCGCTGATGTTAAAACACCGCAGCAAGTCCTCATTTAAGGCGGAGTCGACCTAGCCGAGGCCCGGGACCGGGCTCAGATAGACGCCACTGTGTTTAACCGGTCGTGAGCGTCAATCGAGCTCGGGTCGTTGCGCCAACCACTGCCGCCACCGCTCTCCACTTGTCTTTGTGTGCACACACGCACAGACGTACACGCGCGCGCACACACATTCACACATATTCACACACGTGCATTATTGCCGCGTTCTTAAGTGAACGTCTCCCACCACCTCCTTGCCACGCGTGGTGTTGAGATCGTTTACTCCAATGTGAACTAACAGCCCCCCCCCCCTGACCACCCCCCCTTGACCCCCCCATGACCACCCCCCCCCACGCCCCCCCCCTCCCGCACACCCCAGCAGTGTCACGCCCACCTCACGCCTAACGAGCAAAACCCACGTTCTTTACATGTGCACAGATACAGCCTATATAAAATTCAATGATTTATTTACTTGCCGTGGTTCTTCATACAGTATTTATATAATACCGACGTATCGCGGGGGGAGGCGGGGGGGGGTCTGTTTAAATATATATTTTAATATATACTGTCATTGCCATATACGTGGTTCCTAAGTTATTTTCAACACGTACAAAAGTATAGTTCTTTTGTAGGAAGCTGTACATGTCATTTTTTGAGGTCCCAGCCTCTGCAAATTCATTGTTTGCCGACTTCGTAGCGTCCACAATTTATAATACAGTATTTATATATAATTACACCTAATCAAATTCCTTGTCGCGTCGTTTTTGTTCCCCCGTCCAAAATGTTGACGAGAGACCACCTCAACGCCGCAAGAGTTTTAATTTGCTTCAGTTGCCTCCTCGAACCTTCATCTCCCCCCCCACCCCCTCTCCAAAACAGTCCCAGAAAAAAATCATAATCCAGAAATTGTTTTCATAAAACTTAAATAAAACAACACACAAGCCGCCGATGGGCCTACTGCACGTGTCACTGCAAGGGCAGTCTCGTGACATCAGCTGGCGTCGCCTGTTCCAACACATCGCTTGCTTGCTGCTGATGATGATGCAAGCGGCACGTGGCGCCACGGGTCGCCGTGGTCGAGGCGCTTCGAGAAGTCGCCGTTAAGTGCTCAATTCGCTTGTGGGGCAGAGAAGGGAGGAGATGAGGGAGCAGAGGCAGAGACGTCCACTGCTCAGCCCGTCGTGTCCTACGCCACCACCCGCCCCCTCCCCCCAGAGCGCGGCACGGCACGGGCACACGCGCAGCCTACTCCGGCTGCTCATCTTGACGTTGGCCCATGCCTGACGCGCAAGTCAAGTCCCTCCAAGCTGATTGCAAGTCCACGCGTAGCCTCATGCGCAACGCGCACGGCCGCGAACCGATTGCGCCTTTGTCTGCGCGTTGTCATCAACAGGCTACCCCCCCCCCCCAGCCGCAACATCAACGAGCGCTGTTGACAATCCCAGTCGCTTCTCTTTCTATAGATGGTTCGCTCGCCGTCTTTGTCTCTCTCGGCGACTGCAGCCAGCCGGTCGGGCCCGGCTTGCGTCCCCCTCCTCCTCCCTCTCCTCCCCACACCTCCAACCTTCCTTACACTGCCCTCCCCCCGCCTTGCCTAGGATGACTCCGCAGCCCACGTCTAGACCACGGAGGCGACTGACGAGACGGACGTGATCTTGCCGGGGCTCTCCTCTGCCCAGGGCTGGAGGTTCTGCAGAGCGTAGAGGGACGCGTTGTGCAGACACAGCGGGTCCGGGTTCACGGGCTGGCTGAGGCTCTTCTGAAAGGCTTCCTGCTGCAGCTGCATCATGATGCGGTTCGCCTGCTGCCGCTCCGCTTCACGCTCCTCCGCCGTCTGCCGCCTGCGAAGAGCGGAACGCATTGCATTGCACCGCACTGCTAATGGGCCCGGCGGTCATCACAGCAACCCAGTGATTTAGGTTTTTTTTTGCCGCAACAGTTCGGAACGTCGTTCCGCTTTAGTTTATCCTCTCGTGATAACAACACACACACCTGTACTACACCACACACACACCTGTACTACACCACACACACACGTGGTTCATTTGGATTATCCAATTACAACGGGTGCAATACCAGAGGATTAATTGTGATTAGGCATACCGTGTACTCTAGTGGTAGTGCCTTACGCCCATAATTACTACCCCAAGCCATTCTTAGCAGTGTTCCGTATCATATCGAGTGGAAAATTAAGCCCTGATGATAATAATAATAAAACGGTGCGCATGCGCGTCGGACGACCCCTACAACAATGGATTTTTTGCAGCGGTGTCCTTCCGATGCCCACCCAGTGTACAGTATATATGTACTGCACATGTACAACTTAAATACACATCGGGGGTCAAAGAGACACGTGCCAGCACAAAGACCCCTCCGTATAGCCTGCAAAAGGTTGCTGTTAGCGAGCACCTATGTTGGCCGGCACGACACGCAAGGGGGTGGGTGGGCCAATCTCACACCCGGACGCCTTTGTCTCCCCAGTGGTGATGTTTGCTCATTTGAGGCCGAGTCAACTTAAGGGAGGCCTAGGACCGGTTCAGATAATCGTGACTGGTTGTTGGCCGTGAGTAGGAATCGAACCCGGGTCGCCGGGTTCGTAGCGCAGCGCGCTAACCGCTACACTTCACCCACACACAGAAACACAACATCCATGTGCGAAATGCATGGGGTTTCCACAAAACTCCAGCGTGGTTGCCATGGGCCCCCCCTGATGCTAGTAATTCAGTGGGGCCCCCCAGACCAGTTCCCGCCAGACCCCCGCCCCCTAGGTTGACTTTGCTCTCCGCTTTCACCATCAACCCGTGTTGACCCAATATCTATTTGATCGCATCCGTGTATTCGATCTAAAAAAAAATGTTCAACCGAATAAATAACACTTAATCCAGATAATATATGTTTGAGAACGTAATATCTGTCTGTAGTCGCGCGCATTAGAATCAGAATATGTATTTATTTATAGCTCATCGAATCCCTACAGTATAAATAAATATTCTGATTGGAATGATGTCTGTGTGTGGCCTGTGTTATAGATCGAGACATCACGGACGAAGAGAGTCAAAACATGCTGGGTGAACAATAGGCCTTCTGTGTGATGTTGTAGGTGTATAGTTTTATATACATACACACATACACACTTGTGGAGATTGTACAGCGGTTTCACAGTCACGTGTTTAGTGAACCTCGTTGCGATACTTTGAGTTTCTAAAATATGTAGTTGGGCCTATATAGCCCTCTAGACAATACCACTACTTTAAGACAAATACAAAGACCCCCCGTATAGCCTTTACCAGACTGTTGGGGCAAATGCTGTTAGCGAGCACCTATCGCTGCACACGAGGGGGTGGAGGGCCAACAAACCCCGCCTGGCGCCTCCGTCTCCTGAATGCTGATGTGCATTAGAAAATCTTTTTTCCAGAATCAGAATCTTTATTTAGACTGGAGGAATCCGATGAGCCTCGAATCTCCATTTCACAGATGTCCAGGGACTCAGTTCTAAGGCTAAGTCGACCTAGGGCAAGCCCGTGAACGGTTCCGATATTTCTCATCGATCTTGGGATCGAAGAGTTTTATAGCAGTGCAGTGAGCTACCCATAACAGGAGCGAGTCGTCTATAACACGCAACAGTGCTCTCAACATCAATCGGCGTTTTCCAAACTCCAGTGATCGGGACCCACCCATCACGCGACATCCACCAATTTACTCCCCCATTTAAATGCAAATCCAGTCGTTCCGACGCTGCACGCGCCTGATGATTGTTAAACATGTTCCACGTGCCGCGCGAAGCAATTAACTATGTCTGCTTCACGTGCACGCCGAGATCTCAATCTTAACTTTAATCGGCTCTATTATCGCAGACGGCGTTAAATGCGCGTCACGTGGGACGCGTTTAATAATCATCGGGCGCGTGCAGCGTGTAATGAGTTCCATCGTATTTTAATGAGTAAATAGGCAAACGAGAAAAGACGAACACTTTATGCATCATTTACATAATGTACATTCTATGTCAAGTCTGTGTACTCGATGACGTTTTATGTAAAATAAGCGTATTCACTCACGTGATGATTAATTAACCAACCACCTTCTCTGCTATTTATACCAAAGTCATCCCCAACACATCGCTTGTTATTTTTACCCATTTCAATCAATAGAAATGCATCCCGCATATACGCACTATTGGTACTAAATTAATTAACTCATGAACATTTGAAATAGTCATACGCAATGCCATTTTTAAATGTAACATTATTAACATTGCTTTTTAGAATATTGATCTAAATTAACCTTCCCTTTAAACGTTGTATTTCAAAGTCACTTTATATGCAACGGCAGCCAATAGATATAGTTCTCCTATCTTTTGGCACTATCACCTTGGCGGGGTGTATGCTGCTGCTGCTCACCCAGCCTCCGTAGGTAGTGGCGGCTCGTGCACTCAAGGGGCGGAACAGCCGCATCGATTGACCTCGGTTGTAAAGGAGGCTCGCGATGTGCGCGTGCATCAATTTAATCGAGTTTGTAAGAATACCCCTAATGTATGTTTCTCGATTTGTACACAAATTACATATACAGGTTGGTGCAGATGTCTTGTGAATCCCCCCCCCCCCAATTTAATTCTATAAAACTTATCATTTTTGTAAAGTAAGGTTTATTTAAAACAGAAAATGAATGTATGTTCGGAGTCAATTCATTGTGGGGGACGGGGGTCACAGGACATCTGCACCACCCTGTACATTAGAAGCCAAATGGTGTAGCGATGCTATTGCAGCAACGACAACAAGAATTGTAATAAGAAAACACATTCGACGCAGAACAAAAAGCAATCGACAACAATACAACGTCGAAGTAATCAAATTTTCAGATAGCGCACACACAGCGGCGTGGCGTGGTTGTCGCCGGTGCAGTTGCACCGCCTGTACACACTCGATAGCTGGACTCACTATTGGATCGCTATGATGGCGATCGCTCTTGGCCATTGTTTCAATTCGCAGGGCCGCAATGGGATGATTCGGTGTGGGGGTGAGGGGACACGCAGACAAAATATCCCCGGGGTCGCCTCAACAGACTGTTGGGGCAAGTGCTGTGAGCGAGCACCTATGAAGGCCGGCACGGCACACGAGGGGGTGGATGTCCAACACCAACGCCCGGCCGCCTTTGTCACCCCAATGGCGATGTTTACAAACCACACATGATACTCATTTGAGGTTGAGTCGACCGAGGGGAAGCCCAGGATTAATTCTGATCAAATTCACCGGTGTTGTGCCGTGAGTGGTAATCGAACTCGGGCCGCCGGTTTCGTGGCACAGTGCGCTAATCACTGCACCACCGCTCCCCATAGGATACGCGGACGCACACACTTTCCGAACGAACGAATCCCCTAACTTGGAGCATGATGGACGCTCGCAGTGTCCACTCGCGAAAGATGGCCCAAGTGAGTGTGTACATTAAGAAAGCAAAAGTGTCTTTGTATTGGCCGTTACGACTGTAAATATTTGGAGCGGTTGCACGGGGTTAGAGAGGGTGATTGATTAGCTCACCACCGGCCCCCTCCCCGATCCTCCTCCCCCCGCCCCTTTACTTTCCCCCAAAACAACTGCGGCCATTGCACACGAGCAGGGGTCGAGACACACAGCCTTCGCAACGTGTGCACTCACGCACGTGGATATGCACGTTCAACTTCCATCGCACCGTACGTAGCCTGCCGCGCAAATCGGAGGTGCCCTGTCAATCCACTGCTGGATGAGGGCCTCCCAACGACGCTGTGTGGAATCTTAAGTGGGGGTGGGGGGGGGGGGGTAGGTTGTTTGACCATACTTCACCGCGCCGGTCAATGCGTGTTGACGAAGGGGTCTCGAGGTGCGGGTTCGGACGTGACTGGGCATCGCGGTGGCACCGTGCTGCTTGGCGTATCGAGCACTGGGGCTCGATGAACCGTGTCGAGTTCCGTTCCCAGCCACGGGGAAGCATCAGTGGTGCGTAACGTCTCAATCGGTATTGGTTCGCCTACTTCCCCCCCCCCCCCATCCACCCCGCACCAATCTACACCTAACACGCACCTCCGATTGGCGCGGTTAGCTACGTACGGTGCGAAAGAAGTTGGACATCCATAACCAACACGATTCAACAACCCCGCCGCCCCGTCCATTGCCAGCACAGATTTTTATTTTTTGAGAGGCCGCTTCATCCAGCAGTGGATTCATAAATGGATTCACAATTGCCTGTACATGTAGTGCGTATGTTATACGTCTGTGGCAAAGGAGCTTCGGAGCCTCGTCGAATTCCTCCAGTGTAGACACATGTACTGATTCTGCGACGTAGAGACGCGAGCGAGCGACTGAGTGACGGGGAGGAGGGGGGTGGTCAAGTTCGAATGTGTGTCCGAGACGGGCTATCCGAGCTGTAATATGGCACCACAAATAGCCGTGTTTGTGCTGATAACTAAACAACGCATCTCAGATGTTAAGTACCCCCCCGCGAAGAAACAATACGCCGCCCGAGAGAGTGATGGGTTTCACTCGTAGGGAAGGCTACAAGAACCCAATTGTTCTACGTTGCATTCGGTCTCGTGCTATAAACTAAAACAAAATATATGCATTATATACGATCCCCGTTCATCAGTTGAAATCATGTACAGTGGTGTAAACTCGCTTCCCCTTGGGAGTGTAACGCTAAGTCAATACATGTCTGGAAAATAATCTCGTTGCCAGTTCTTCACAAAGAATGCACGACCTCGTGGCGGCCAAGACTGCGCACGTGGCCAGCGAGCAGTCATCAGAATCAGAATATTTGTTCATACTGGAAGGAATCCGATGAGCTCGCAAGCTCTTTTTTTTTCCCCCAACAGATA